GTGGAACGCTTTACCAGCTCATCTACGGGAGTCCACCACTTTATCAAGATTTAAATCAGCACTTAAAACGCATTTGTTTCAGTCCAGCTTCAATCTGTAATTTCCGACATTCCCAATACAAATATTATTATTATTTTCTCTCAGTTTCCATTATATGTTCTCTCAGTATCGTTTATTCATGCTGTTCTGTTCTGCAAGAAATTTATGACTGTGTGAATTCATCAATGTGTGCGAGGGAGTCTGGGTAAGCTTTGTGGGATTGTCTGTACTCAAGGATGTACTCTAAGATAGAGAGAGAGAGAGAGAGAGAGAGAGAGAGAGAGAGAGAGAGAGAGAGAGAGAGAGAGAGAGAGAGAGAGAGGATTACTACAGGAGCTGTGCGCTGCATATTATGTTCTTTGTATTATTGTACAGCGCATCGGGCACCTCTTTGTGGAAGTGCGCTATATAAATACAATTTTATCATTATTATTATTATGAAAGATATGAGAACGTGACGTCCAAAATTGACGGAGACAATAAGCTTACTGCATCAGTAGAAGTAGAGTGTAGTCAGCATGACGTAATGACAAATCATTTTGTATAGTATAAAAGTGTCTTTTTTACCAACAAACTCAGTCATTATACCTCTCCGACATGGCTGCTCAGAGCACTGGAGGGGCTCGCGCAGTCTTGCTCCCTGCTCTAGGTAGTCTAAGAATATATAATTAGTCTCGAAACAAAGAATTACGACACGGCTGAAGGGCACCAAGTGCTACTGTCACCGATCTTACATAAATGCAAAATCTCCTGCAAAGCACAGTAACACTTGTCACAGTCCAGATAGCAATGGTCTGAAAGGCAAACTTCGGTCAACTGTCCGAGAGTTCCAGTCTAGCACCCCCTGTATTTTTTTTTATTTGGGTGGTCAGAAAAGGAAACTTAATAGCCAAAGTTATAAAAGGCGACCAGAGAAAAAGGTTCGTCCAAAAGAAGGTCGATAAAACCGTATAAATTAAGGTACAAACACCAAGGTTTGCAGAAACGTGGTACATCCTTTTGAATTTATTATGAGTTAATAAGGATGAAATATGACAGCTACTAACAAAGATACAAGATATCTTCCAGATACCCCCAATTTCGAGTAAAGAACATTCTGACTCGCTGTGTGAAATTGACAACCATGGGTTGACACGGCTAGGGAGAAATTTCTTTTGTGCCCTCGATGATGGTTTCTCTCAAGACTCGTATACTTTCAAAGGTTTTTCCACACACCTGATCCTTCAAACACCCCCCAGCGGAGAAAGTCCAGTGGACTCAGGTCTGGATTGTTTGGGGTCCAGTTGTGCTCAGTCGGACTGACTGTCTTGTAACCAAAATGGTTATTGACCCAGCCCGGAACAGCCCAGGCGTCATGAGGAGCAGTCCAGTTTTCCTGAGTGGAAGTTCTAGATCTTTCCCCCTTCATCATCAACAAATAATCAAAAGCTTCTTCAGAACTTTGGTAGGATAACGGGGTATTGGTCAGAGTTCACAGAATCACGGACCGCCCTAACCTTTTCAAAAGTGCGTTGTTTTTATTGTGAGTTATTCGGGACTTAGAATTCGAGTCCTTACTTTTAATGAACGTAAACCTTTTCAAATTTGCAACCCATTTCAAAATGGACCCTTTGCTCTGAACATTATGTTTGTTACAGACATCTATCCCGTATGCCCGAGCAAATAATGCGCATACCAATTTGGAAGATTTCGCTTGCTTGCTGATACATCCGCTGCAAAAAACACGCTGTACAGTGGTGCATCTTTCCGCTGTGCAAAGCAGTGGACTGTTTAAAAAAATATAATCCGGCCGGATATATTATGTCCTCGCTTTCTGTCACTCTTGATGCCAATTGGGTCATGGAAAAAAAAATGAAGTTTTGCTTTTTTGACAACTTTGGACGCATTTTTTATCATTTCCACTACGATCTCGAATGCAGATTTTTAATTTGTTAATACACACTGTTTTATCTGTCGAATCTGATTATTTTTTTCCTTTTTTGATGTATTTTAAAGGGTTTACCATTATCTTTCTTCCGCTACAGCCCCGCCATGGCTGTCTTCTTGTTTGTCGTGATAGCGTATATGGATTGAGCTGCGACATTAAACATTTTGGCAATTTCAGCTTGGGATTTCTGTTTCTTCTCATCCTCTTTAATTAAGGCTCCTTTCTTTTCTAAAGGTGGTTTACCCCTTCAACATTCTTGTATTTCATCCGATGCAAATTAGTCCGACGTGATTTGTGATAAAGGAACTCGTATGATATGTAGACCCTTGCGGGTGGTTGGAGGGTGCCACTGACTGGTAGATCCTACTTCTGTACTTTTTTTCTGTTGTTTCGGTCTGTCTTTTCCCCCTAGCACTAAATGGTCAATGTGTTGATGTGCTTCTATTTACTCAAACTCAAACAAACAAGTCGGCGTACCTTACAGTAAGTTACACACATACGGTAGATCAGATTACGTGCAGGCACTCAGTCACAGTGCCTGCAGCTACTGTTCATTGTATCATTCCCGCTGCCCATTTCGCATTTCCAGAAAACCAAGTGCCAGACCAACGTCACCCAAGGTCACTGATTGGAAAGTCTGCGAGGAAAATGTCGGTCAACAAATTTTAATAGAACTGGTGCCATAAAGGGCGTACATGTACTGTAAGTAGGTCACGTCGGTGCAAACTGTCCCGTTTGGTGGGCTTTGTTTTGTTTGGTTAGTGTTTCCGTTCTCGTCCCCTTATTTTACAAGATTTTGCTGATGATCAGACAACTGTTCTAACGGAGCATGGCTGCTCAAATGCCTGCTACAAACGAACATTTTAAAGATATGTTGGCCTACAATATGTATTCAACTTAATAAAAAAAAACATCTGTCTCAGTCTCTGGTCGTCCACTTTGAATGTTGGTTGTACCAGTCGAAACGAGCTTAGTGGGTGGTTGGCGGGTGCTCTGGTGTGGTTTTCTTCTTCTTTCCTATCAAACATCTGTCGCCCTGATCTCTCCTTCTTTTTTCTGTTTGTTACTCTCTTGTAACACCTCTAATCTTCGGCACTTATATGACCTTATTGTGTTGCAAGTGCCGCAAAACTCTTACTAAAACTAAAACTAAACGAAACGAGCTTGTCGACGTGCACCAGAAAACAAATCGGCGCCCAATGTTGGCTACACATACGGTTCTTCTGGTTCCCTGTGGGCTTTTGGCTGTTACTGTTAGAGTAACCCACAGAATTCTACACTTAAGCAAAACATGGATTAAGGGCACACAAAAAATGAAAACTTTCAGTTTTCAAGGACTCTCAAACTATTGAAATTACCAAACTTTGGCGGCCGTTTCTCACTAATTTTACCTCTGAAATCAGGCGACCCCCACCTCTTTCAAAGCGCCAATATCATGACTTTAAAAAAGATAAATGGATATTTTTCCCCATCAAGAGCAAGGCAAATGGACAGGCTTTAAGTTTAAGATGTTTTCTATAACTCCATAATATGCCCCAAATTGACGAGTGCCAGATTCCACCGCGTCGTGGCACAAATATATCTATCTTGTTTTGAGGCTGTGATCCTTGGTTGCCCGTCCTTGGTTGATCAACAACACTCCCAGTTGTCTGGAAACGTCAATGCAGCGCTCCAGTAGTACGTTAATCCACATTGTGTTTGCTGCAACGCACCTTAGAATTACATTGGCAATGAGCATCCCAGTCGCACTGCGCTCCTCAACGCTCAACTTTGGCGTACCACTGGGAACAAAATAAAGGGATCAGTTAAGAACTGAACGAATTTTCTGCTTTGCAAGGGCTAATTGATTTTTAAAAAACCAATGTGATTTATTACAACAACAAAAAATTAGGATTTGTAAAAATAAAGAAAATAATAAATAATGTTTTGTCCGTTATGCGCATGCCACAAAATGAGAGATAACAACACTAACATAAGTGCGTCAGGGAGGTATTTTAACTCGTAATTTGGATAAAATAGCTTCGTCTCCTCATCTGGAGAGACCCGAAGTTCATTGAAGACCCAAATTGAACATGAGTGTGGTGTTTGTTGCTTGCTTGTTCGCTCCAGTGTTGTTTCCACAGACAGGAGGTATTGGTAGCGTTTGGTCTTATGTTTAAAGTCCGCCTGAGGAAGTGTGTTCTTCGTTGATGCCAACAGAAGGGAGGAGGATTCCTTTGCCAGAAGATTGATCTGCTCGTTAACTCAGATGCCTACATGGTATGGCTAGGTAGCCGTGCAAACACAATACTATGCTATTACGTTTTTCCCTGGTCAGTCTTGGTGGAGTGAATCCTCAACTGTAAGTTGGACTATTTTAGGGTTTAGGAGTGAAACTGGTGAAAGCAGTGATGCAAGATAGCGAATCGAACAGAATGAGAAAAGAAGATTCGGGAGAATTTTGTTCAGTTCGATGTCATGTCAACAGCAGTAGCGTCTGGAAAAAAAATTAAAGGAGGCCTCGACACGGAGCCTCCTCTATTGAGCGTTGTTTGTGGATAGGGCAAAAGCGTCTACAGCCCAATCCGATTTAGACAAAAAGGGTGAGTTTAGTTTTAGTAAGTGTTTAACGGCACTTGCAACACAATACGGTCATATAAGTGCCGCAGATTAGAGGTGTTACAAGAGAGTAACAAACACAAAAAATAATAACTCTGGTAACACTTTGCCATCACAAAGTTCATATACATGTAGCAAAAACCCTTTCCATCTAAGGCACAGGCATTTTGGGGAACATCCAAAGAAACTGGGTGGTAAAAATCACCAGGCGAGATGTGACAGCAAAGTGTAAAGAGCTTGGCAACACACAACACCAGAAACCCTGACAACTGTGGAACGAATGAAAGCAAATTATGAAAGAGGATCAACCGATTCAATGTTTTATGTTTTCTTTATTAGCATAACAATACAAGGCAAAAGATGTCAAGCAAAAGCAGCAAGTCCAACACTTGAGCACAATATACAATGTATGGGGCTTCGAATAGAATTTGTCATGTGTGAGTGGGAACTTTTATATAATTACCAAGTAATTGCATACTATACAGTTCATTATGCAAAAATGATGGCATTTCTAACTATTATATTATACAGTAGGCTAGTTTACACAATTTCTTACAAACTTTAGTCTTCAAAACTTAAAGCTCAAAGCTGAAATGTCAAGTTGCAAAACATGATGACCCATTTTAAGTCTGGTAACTGCCCATATCTCTATTCAATCATTGTACAAAGTCACATGCCAACTTTTGTACTTTTGCAGAACAAAATCTAACAAGAGGCTGTCAAGTGATCACAGCTATAGATCTACAACTCTTCTCTTTCCTTATTACTTTCAAAAAAGTTTATTAAGTACTTACATAATCATTGGATGAGAACAAAGGGTCACATAAATATACTCTACTCTGTGATTCTTCAACATGTCCTCATTCAGCTTCTCATGCATTGTTCTGTTGCGATTTTAAATGAAGCTTAAGATAAGCTGCAAAGTTTGCCATATTTTTCAATCATGTCTGCACTTCATCATAGACGAGATCAATTTCACTCTATCCAACACACCTGCTATGACGAATTGAAAACAACATGAACACAGATTACTTTTAATTTTTTCTTGTTATTTGTATATTACATATAACATATACAAAAGATCACAAACAAGAGACAGCAGTCTTGACACCCCCAATTCTTAAACGGAACACACCACACTTCAATTGTTTTGTTTTTTTATACAAGACTTATGGTAGGGGATGTTCAAGACAGCTGGTTCATTGTCAAGCTGTTGTCTGCACAGCAAGCATGATTTCCTCACTATAATGCCAGTTCACTAGCAAGGTTTACACATAAGACAAGAGGCTCACTGTACCATCAGGTGAGGTCTGGACAAACAATTTTACTTAGCATTTCTTGGAGAAGCCTCCTGAGTAAAGTCATTGCCCTTTTCACATGATAATTATAATGAAGTACATGGACAAACCAGACCAGTGGGTACACAGACTTTTTAAAAAGCCATCTTTCCTACTTACTGGTGCTGGCAAAGTGATCAATTACAGCTAAATACAGTTCAACTATACGATTTTTTTTCCTTTCAAATCTGTTTATCAGAAAGAGGGAAAATGTATAGGCCTATACATATAATATAATTAAACAGGATTTCTTTCCAGTAGAAGGCCGCAACAATCCATACAGAGGGTTTAAGTGTCCATATAATGATAGGTTTACATTAGAGTCGGACATCTGATGTCAGGTCTATCTCCAAAATGAGAGAACCAAAAAGATAGAGAGACATGATTTCTTCAAACAACACAATTCCAAGAATATCCTGCAATGGGATTTGGAAAAAGAGCTGCCCATACCTAGGGCCACTAATAATACCAACTTAATTAACATTGCAATCCCAAGGCCGAGCATTTTTCCTTTTCTTTGAAAAGTTCAACCAGCTCCTAAAGCAAAGAACTTATATACAGACCTGCCAACCCCTCCTGACAGAAAAATAAGAGTTTTCCTCAAAATTAGAGTTTGGAGTGAAAAAAAAATGGGAGTATATTCAAATTATGTCAGAAACCAATCATGGCAAATACATGTGAATTACAAATACATGCAAACAAACGCAAATAAGAATGAGTATGTTCATGTTGTTAACAGTAAGTCGCGCATATTTGCAAATAAACATGTAGTTTTACGTCATTTACGATAAATTTCATATGACCTATGGAAATGGAATTCCAGAAAAAAATATTGGATGTTAAGAAAATCCTATCAGAGTTCTTCATATAAAGGCCCAAGAAAAATCAACCGGCTCCGATTTTATCGGAGCACCTGGCAGGTCCATAGGTCACTCAGGTCTGTTCTCTACAGTGATAAATGATCAGTAACAAATAAAATGTCCAATTTTCAACATAGAGGATGCATTTGAAATCATATAATTTTTTTCTTTAAATCTTCTAGGGCTCAAATGGAAATGCTCAAAATTAATAGCAGTTACAGTTAGTCAAAAGGGTGTCTATTTAATAAATTATGCATGTACATGCTTTCTTCTGGAGATTCTTACTTGATCACAACTGAGGCATTAGGCGGGCACTGAAAGTAATGACACACTGCCATTATTCAGCCCTTTCAACATGTAAACAGGACCTTATAACAAAGCCTCCCAATGTATAGTTGATATAGAAGTTTCAGACCTGAAATCTGAAAAATATATATCCATCTACCGGAAGAAAACAAGTTTTTCTAGCTGTACAACCATGATGAGGTAAAGGAAATATATCCATAAACTCATAATGTACAGAACACAAAGGATATTCAGACTAGAAAACTGACTCAACTATTTGCTGCTGACAGGGCAGATTATAACAGCAAACGATGCAACCAATTTTGGCATAAATAAAGCTAAATTACAGTGCACCACTCGAGAGCTGGACAAGATAGGAACACGGCATTCTGTTTCAGGGCGAGATGTCCTTCAGCTTCAAAACAACAGCATGCAAAGTATAACCAAATATTTGTGAATATAAAGGGCACAAGCTGTAAGGGAGACCTTGCCATGCTTAAACAGCAGAGGAACAAACAATATCAAACACCAAAATTTCAACAAGCCTGTGGCTAACTCAGTTGTGGTTCACGGTGAGATCGCATAATGAATGTCAATTTTGTCAGGAACAAGGAAGAAGATAAATTTAGTATCACAGAAAAGAAGTACACATAGCTGATCCAATCACAGCATTCATTGTTCACCCACGTAAGGGCGAGTTAGAAAAGGCTGTCTGATTCACGGCCACCTATTGCAAAACACTGCTTAGAATAACATGATCGGAAAAAGTGGACTGAAAACATATTCTGGATTAAATTCGTAGCACTTATTTTAAGGATATACTGCAAAACAAACTCTGAAACTGTTACATGTTAGATACAGGGTAGAAGACAGTCCACTACACTAGCATATATATCCAGTGCCAATCTGTACCATTTCACTTGGAAATAAATTTCAGCCAGCCACACATCCAAGGCAAAACAACTTCATAATGACAGTCTCAGAGAAGCAACACACAAAATACAGAGTACAACTTTAACTCGTCAACAACAAAAGAAAAACAAAAATCAAAGACAACAAACTTTCATTTCACTAACATTCTGTACTGTAAGAGTAGTCTACTACCGGGAACATACACTTCAGCCCAGTCAACTGATTTCACATACTTGAGCTTTACATCAGTAACCGTTAATCATAAAATTGTGCTTCCTTTTTTTCACGACCCATTCATTCCAAAGTTCTTGAGACCAGCAAATCCAAAAAAATGGAGAACACAAGTGATGGGATCAAACAGTAGACCTTCAGAAAAAAAAATTCAATTCCTTTCTTTTGATAAAAAAAAACAACAACTACTCAATCTACAAAACAATTTCGCTACCTTCAGTTTTGTACATTCCACAATAACGACGAAAATAAAGAGAGCAAAACTATTTCTGAACAAAAGCAAGTTACTAGATGATGTAAATAGATACAGATGTTGACTGCCATGGGTCCAAGCTTCGGATATCACAGAAGGACGAGAGGAGAAGGGACTGAAGCCTCCGGGATGCAGCTCAAGGAACTGATGAGTATGGTAGAGAGTTGGCCACTGCAGCTCACAAGTCAAATTTGTTCCTGAAACAGAACATCACAGGGAAAAAATAAGAATACGATAAATACGCTACACGTATATTCCTCAACATTTTCAGAAAACTGCACTCATCAACTGCGTTCAATAAGTATTAATATTCCTCTAGAAAGAACTGCATTATATTTGACTCCATGTGGATGTGTCACTCAGTCAACAGTAGATAAAATATTTTCATTAAGCTGCAATTCCTTTAAAAGGAAATATCAACTGACACAACCAAGGGTCACAAGAAGAAATTCCTAGGCAGCTGTCAAGACCATAAAACTATAAAAAAAGGCATAGCAAACAAAGTGCAATTTAGAGAGCTCACAAAATACTTATAGATACTGAACCTACTCTGCTGCATCTTCAACAAAGATAATCTTTCACAACCCATACGTATGCAATTGTTCTGTCAGAAAACAGATAGTCTGATTCTGAGATCAGATATCTGCTTTATCATCAATCAGTTCCATACTACAAAATGTACTTATTTTGCTTGCAATTTTCTTATGAACATTAAAACATATTTTTCTTTAGTATTATAGGAAGGGTGAGGGGAGGGGGTTGTTGGAGAGACACCTACTCGTCTTCCCTGTACAGTTGAAACTGCAAAACTGCAAGGAATCAAAGTAATAAAGCACAACTGCCAGGAAAAGCCTAGCTAACAAACAGCAGTAACACTACAGACAAAGGGATGGAATGCACATATCCCCTTCCACAGGCACCAGTGACTTGGAAAGTTTTTATGAATCAGGTGAACAGCTTGTGTAATTGGTTTCCCACTGTCTTAAGACTCTGAAGTTTTGTCACTCAGACACAAAAGAATTTCAAAAGCAAAAATGTTTACTGTCAGCATGCATAGAAATTATTGGGTCTGTGTTAGTATAAATAGCTCAAACAAAATATATTTCAAGCAATGACGAAATGAATCCGACAAAATGACAGAGCATCACAGGCGCTTGAAGATTCTAATTTAGACTCCAATAAACACTTAAGGAATCTATAGATAAGAGTGAGAGGCTCCCTAAAAGGCTAATTGCGTAATGATGTTTTTTACCCCAGCGCATGCAAATGAAAAGAAAAACTTCAACTGTAATTACTAATTTTCTTTCCTAATAATTCAAGTATTTACTGGTCAGTAGGCAAATCCATTTGCAAGAACTGCATAAATAAAAAGGCCTACACTCACTGAATACAACAGACTCCTTTTAAAAAACATTTTTTTATTCAAAAAGATATGTACCAACATTTATCAATGTAGAACCTCCACTGAAAAGCCAAAGCACAAATATTCAGCCAGAAAAGGAAGTAATTATGGCCAGCTAAAAATACTGCTTATGCAGTTATTAAAAGAAAAAACAAAAATCAACCCCTTCTTTGCCTATGACGTACTTGGCACGTCATGCAAATGCGTAATTTTTAGCGCTGTGCCATGGTACGTCACAGAAGTTGGCTAAATTATCCGCTGCTGGTTGCTTATATGACGTTACATGTATGTCATGCTAATAACCTGCCTCTAATTCTTCTGTACAGACTTTTAGCCACAAGCGCTGCGTAGATTTGTATTCGAGAAAAAAAGATGCACATATCAGTACCAAATTTGCTAGCATTATTCTACTGCTAAGCTTGCAAGCGATCCATAAACACAGATCTAGCCTGGCGGGCGGCCATGTGCTCTTGTAAAACGTACACATCTAAATGACTTTAAAAAGGCAAATAAATTCACTTTTTTACTTTGATTTGCAGGTTATTTGAAATTATGAGTAAGATGGGAGGAAATGGGGAATACGAAAAGTGAGAAAAATTAACACAATCGAAGATCCGGTGTCTGAAACATATCAAGAGGGCATTAGATCTAAACCATGCATCCATTGACACCAAGAAATAAAGGCTACTGTTCAGGGTAACGAGCTCAGCTGAAAATCAGTTGCTGACAGTAGGAATGCATACCCCCTGGCAACGAAAGGGTTAACAGTTACTGCAGTAGCATTTCTAAATGATAAATAGTACAGGGAAGCTTAGTGAAGAGGCAAAAGGCTCCACAAGGGGAGGAAAGTTCCATGCTGACCACTTGAGTATCATCTCCACCTGGGCAGTTGCTTCTCCTTGCTGGTCAGCGGCACGTAGATGACCCCCATCAAGGTCTTCTTCTCCACTGTACCATCAGCCAGCTTGTCAACCTACAAAAGCAAAAAAGTACTTGAATTATTACAACAGAGTTCTATACAAAATATGGGCACTAGGGAAGTGATATATGGTCGCTTTTAAGCACATGGGAGCTATCCCGAAAAATGTTGCCTTGAGAAAATCGAAGGTAAAATTTTTGCCCCTGTTCAGTTTCTTTAAAAGACAAGAAGAGTTTTCTCTATAACCAAACAAATATACACACCACTGAAACCAAACTTCTCCTTTAGGTAGGGCAATGCCCACTTTTGGTGTAGGTTAAGATTTCTGGAAACCCCCGAAATCTGGGTTGGCCCGCTTGTCCTTAAAAGCAACCATATATAGTTGACTAAGAATGAGTTGATGCTGTCAGGGGAGTGAAAAAAACAAAAAACAACCTCATCTGAAGTTCAACTTTACCATTGGGATCTGTAAAGAAGAGGTGCTGGCACCCCAAGAAAAAGATCAACTTAACCGAAGATCAACTCAAGCCAGTTCAACACAAGCGGAGTCGACTGTACCACTGTCGTCACATGGCTAATCTGACACTCCAAAAATAGCATGGAAAATGAAAGAAAGTCCATCTATCTCACAAACATATATACAGCTAGTTTGATGATAAGTTTTATTATCTTTTGCACTGATCTGATCTGAGTCAGTTTGGGCAGGGAATAGTTCAGAATTTTACTCAATAAGCTCGCCTGGCAACTAAAAAAGTTTGCTCTTCAACTTTCAAAAACTTGAGATGTTAAGCACGGATTTTCAGAGTTTCCCATCTCTTCACAAAATAACTAAGTGCTTGACCCATCTGTGCTTGAATTAAGGGTGTAAAAAAAACCCCCAACAAACTAATACAAAACCCACCTTCCTATTCACAAAATGTGACTCCATGAACCAGGAATCTAAAAATTAGACCACAAGCAAC